GGACTAGAGATCAGAGATTTGATCGAGGGAAGATCAAATTGAAAGGCTATTTATAGTAGTGAAACATTGTTCACTAGAGAGCTTCACCTCAGTGAAAGTTAGCCGCAAGCTGTGTTATCTGGAAGAGTGGACTGTATTATAAACCATGTGATATTCAAAGTTCCATAAGTTATTTAACAGCCTGCAACCATAAGCTTTGTACACAATAAACTTGTTATCTTTTGTTGAAAACCATCTCATCTCAACTAATCTGCTTCTGTGGAGCCAGATCTCATCGGTAGTACCTCAAATACCTCACATTGGTGGCAGTTACCTTACAAATAATACAAATAATAATTGGCCTCCTCCATAATATACTCTTCTACACCATTGAGGCCTGAGGTAAATTCCCTCCATAACATCCACATCTGTACAATTGGTGGCAGTGGTGAGATTAAAAAGTGCCTGAGGTAAAATACCTCCATTATTAGGGCCTGCCATTGCCAACCTTAGCAACACACAAGCACCTCCTCGCAATTGGTGATAGCGGTGGGGATCTTCAAAGATAAAATCCCTATACCCTGTCCATCGTTGTGTTCACATCTTCCCACCAGGTAACAATGTCTTCTTCTAGAACCTCACTTTCCCCTGATTTTGGGAAACCATCATCCTGGTACATCATTATTCAATCCTTGGATGTCTTTTCCTCTAACCTTTCTGTCTTGATCAGGCTTTTCAGTTGCAAAATAACTGATTTGTTCCCTGAGAACCAGGAGCTCATCATGTGTCATGTGTCAACCACACTTAACAAGTCTTAACATTATGCCACTGAATATTTTGTAGAGCACTGGCGGGAATCATGCAGCCCTCCAGATTAGTTGGAAGCATTTTCAGACCTATTAATCAAAGCCATTAATGAGGAATGTTTCAATGTGAGAATATCTGGAGTGCCACATGAATCCCTCCCCTGAAGTAGAGGCACCATAGTTACACTATCATCAAATTAAATCCTCAGCTGAAACAATAACATATGTTTGTTTTTTAAAAATTAGACCACCCCTCAGTGACAACTTCTCACAGTGCTAAGCGTTTTGATTTCCATGTGTAATAATTGTCGAGTTTTCAAAATATTTTTATCTCTAACTATAAAAAGGTCGTGCCTCAAAAGTTTCAGAATGTTTTGATAGAAATCAATACAGTGAAGGTCAAGCTCTCCAAAAAAACATATTTTGGATGTTTTATTTAGTGGACTTACAGCATTACAAATGACTCACATGGGATAAAAATAAAAATTGTAATCTGATGTCATGTCCTTTCTGGAATGGTAGAAGTCTTGGATGTTAAGAGTTTAAAAGCGAGATTTGAATATATCATGGAAAATGTGGTTCTTCCTACTTTTTTCCAATTGAAGAATAGCTAAATGTTTTGATTTTTTCTATGATAAGTATAAGTCATGCAGCTAATAATATAGATGCTCCATAACCAGAATAAACTCCAGCACTTTGGACTTTATTGCATTTATCTGCTGTCTCACCACAATTTTGATTACTTAAGGGAACAGAAATATCCCAGAATAATGCTAATTTTCTCATGTCTCCACAGTAGTGCTATGGCACTGGTTTGGGATCTATGATCTCAAGTTCTCTCTTTGGTGTAACCTCCAAAACCCCAAATTACCACAACTTCACTGTTAGAGTAATATAGAGGAAACAATTAAAAGAACAGAAAAATGGGGGAGCAGAACAGTTAATGCTGACACATAATTGCTGGCATATTGAAACAAAAGAAAGGGACCTATCATACTAAGACAGGGGTCCTCAAACTATTTAATAGGCTTGGGCGGTTTTGTTCGTTAATTTCGTAAGTCGTTATTAATTCATATTTAAATTAACTTACGATCCAATATTGAGCCATGCAGGAATAGTGTGAGGAGTAAATTAGATTCGAAACAATTTTTTCAATTTATTTCGTAATTATTTTGTACTTATTTCGTAATTATTTTCGCATGTCTGGTGCAAGTTTTATAGTTGTTGTTTGTTTTATCACACCAACAGTCAACAACAGAGGGAGAGGGAAGCTTCAGAAGTTCCCCCTGTCCCATTTGGAGGTTTTTTTAGCATATTGCGCAATCGCGTCCGCCATTAATGAATCGATTCGTAATTATACGAAATTTCGTATATTTTGAAATTTTTAAAAGGAAAATTTCGGCATTATTAAAAAAACGAAATGCAAGGGCCCCCTAAAAACAAAACGAGTTTAGAACCAATTTTTTCCGTGGTTACCCAAGCCTAATATAAACTGTTAATATTCAACATGAAAATCCCAAGCTGATCTTCCTGCTTGTAGGTTTCAATCATTTTAAATGTCTGATTAAATAAACTTTCACATGCTAAACATGAACTAAAATAAAGAAGGATTTTAATAACCATTCTCACTTATTAAAACACCTGACAGCAAAGTAAATAACTAGGCACACATGTAGGCAAGTGCTGTAGTGCTTTAAAGTGAACTGTTTAGTTTGTATTTTAATCAGTAATTGGTATTTAGTAGGGCTGGGAGGTTTCGTTCGTTAATTTCGTAATTCATTATTAATTTGTATTTAAATTAGCTTACGATCTGATATTGAGCCATTCTGTGAGGAGTAATTAAGAATCGAAACAAATTTTCCAATTTTCGTAATTATTTCGTAATATAATATAATATAATATAATATAATATAATATAATATAATAATATATATAATATAATAATATAATAATAATATAATATAATAATATAATATAATAATATATAATATAATAATAATATAATAATATAATATAATATATATAATATAATATAATAATATATAACATAATAATATTATAATAATATAATATAATATAGTTGTTTGTTTTATCACACCAACAGTCAACAACAGAGGGAGAGGGAAGCTTCAGAAGTTCCCCCTGTCCCATTTGGAGGTTGTTTAGCATATTGCGCAATCGCATCCGCCATTAACGAATCAATTCGAAATTTACCATTAACGAATCAATTTGGAATTTCGTAAATTTCGAACTTTTTTAAAGAAAAATTCGGAATTCTTTAAAAAAACGAAACGCAATGGACCCCCTAAAAACGAAACGAGTTTAGAAACAATTTTTTCCGTGGTTACCCAGCCCTAGTATTTAGCTATTTTTTTTAAAAAAAATTGAAGACCATCTTGAATCCAAATTTTGGGAGAAGGAGGAGGAGGAGGAGGAGGAGGAGGAGGAAGAGGAGGAGGAGGAGGAGGAGGAGGAGGAGGAGGAGGAGGAGGAGGAGGAGGAGGAGGAGGAGGAGGAGGAGAAGGAGAAGGAGAAGGAGAAGGAGGAGAAGGAGAAGAAATCCAAGAGCAGAGTTTAGTTCTAGGCTTTAAAAAAACATGCTAAAGAACCATCTTGATAGTACAAAAACTTGTTGACTCTTCTGCAGTGTTGCTCAGTTAATTACTAAAGTCCTCTATAGCCCTTCAAATATGGAGTGAGCTTTGGATGGAGGTGTGAAAAGCACCTCCTGAAACCAACAAGCTAGTTTTCATTCAGGAATGTGATTCAGTGGTGGGTGGGGGACTCTGGGAGTGATCGAGCAAAAAAGAATGTTTCCAAGGTTTGTTGCTGTTCATGAAACTGCACATACACACTGACATATAATCTTTACATGAAGGAGCTAAAGTTCAAATAAATGTCTGGAGACTGAGCTGCACACCATGATTCACATTTGCCTATTTCCTCACTTTAAAAGCCTCTTAAATTCCATTCAAATCGGGCTTGCAAAATGTTATGGGACATAGTATCCTATATCTTTTCCCCCTGTGACTAATTAACTAGTCTTGACTGTGTCTACACGCGTGTGCGCACATGCACACACACCGAGTAGCAGTAAAGTAATATTTTGAATAATGACATAATGTCTAAGATTAACAGAAACCTATTAAAGTCTTGCTTGCTTGCTTTTTCTCTCTGCAGAGTTTGTAGCTTGAGCCTGCAGGCAATGGACTCATGAAATGATTTTTGGATTTGAACTTAGGAGTGTAATAATTTGTCTTACCAAGATGGACTTATTTTTTTGGCCAGAAACAGTTAAGCTAAGCTACTAATTGCTATAAATGATATAACCTCTTCCTTGTGCCATGCTGAGTATGTAATTGGAACCTGGACAGCAGCAAAATGGAGAAGGTACAGGTCACTAGGAAATAAAGTGAGGATGTCTGTGGGAGAGATTTTATTTCAAGAAGACTTCCTCTAGACACCATGAAATGCTATCGTATTAATACTGAGGGTCTCTTATACACAAACCTCTTAAAGTGGCTGTACATGTATAGAGCTCTCTGTAATCTTGTTACAGTGGAAGAGACAGAATCCATTCTAAAACTAGGTAAGAGAAAATCCACAACCCTACCACCACCACCCCCAAATGTCATCCAGGTATCCTCCAAAGTATTTTTATAAAAGTCACTAGTGGAGTGGAGTAGCACAAATACCAAGAGAAGTGAATCAGTTCTCCTTGTTGACCCTGTCTTGCATATTGGACACAGCTTTCCCTAGATAATAGGGAAAGCTATTATCGCCCTCGGGCTGAGAACAGCGGTATATAAGCAAAGTAAATAAATAAATAATACAATGATTTGGACGAGTACCCCTCACAGTATCATGGTCAAAGCATGGGCTTTTAAATTCTCCATTTATTTGATTCATGAGTCTTTGAGGGACATCTAGACATGGCATGAATCAACGTATTTCAGTTTTGACTTCCTCCCCCTGCATTACTTTGTTCCACCTTTAAAATCAGTATGAAGATTTGGACATAACTTTTTTACCCATTTATTTTGATACATGCCTTTTTTCTACACTGTTATTTGTTTGTTTGTTTGTTTGTTTGTGTATTTAAAAATTATATTCCACTCTTCTCACCCCAAAGGGAACTCAAGGTGGAGCACAGCATATATATGGTAAACATTCAATGCTGGGACAAGAATTCATTATATGCGTACATAAACATTAATGGGGAAAGGAGGTGGTTGTAGCTGCTGGTGCAAACTGAGCAAATCCCTTGTGGTGTGCGATGTGGCTGAAGACCTCTTGGAGAAGCTGAGGAAATTCCACTTCCACAAAGAAACCAACAATGCGGCCATTATCATGAAAATCGACAAGGACAAGCAGCTGGTGGTTCTGGATGAAGAACACGAGGGCTTTTCCCCGGACGAACTCAAAGACGAGCTTCCAGAGAGGCAGCCTCGATTCATTGTCTATAGCTACAAGTACCAGCATGACGATGGGAGAGTCTCTTACCCACTCTGCTTCATCTTCTCAAGCCCAGTTGGGTGCAAGCCTGAGCAGCAGATGATGTATGCCGGTAGCAAAAATAAGCTTGTACAGACTGCAGAACTCACAAAGGTATTTGAAATCAGGAATACAGAAGACCTCACCGAGGAATGGCTCCAGGAGAAGCTGGGCTTCTTCCACTGAACTGGACCCGAAGCTTCCCGTCCTGCGCAAACTGGAACCCGACGTGATGACACCTCCTTTATTTTTTTGAGACCTGCGCAAAGAAGGCACTGTACTTAACAATGGCTTCCTGCAGTGTGTGTATATGCATGTACATAAATATGTATATATTTTGTGCGTGCAACGTTTATACAGATGAGAGGGGAGGGAGCAGCATCTCCTGCGTAACCAAACTCTGCCGGGTTCCCATCTCCCTATTTTCCTGATAACTGTTGAAAAGGGAACAATTTCTCATTTGCAGGGACATAAACATTAAAAATATTGGGTTGTTGTAGGTTTTTTTCAGGCTATATGGCCATGTTCTAGAGGCATTATAGAACATGGCCATATAGCCCGAAAAAAACCTACAACAACCCAGTGATTCCAGCCATGAAAGCCTTCGACAGTACATTAAAAATATTTATCTCAATATTAAAATACACTGTTTAAAACAGTCTTGGTCATCTGCATCAAATCTAATTGGCCTGGCAAAGTTTCCTATCGCTGCTTTATTGCACTGTCCCAAAAGCTTGGTCCAACAGCCAAGTTTTTGCCATCCTTCTGAAGGACAAGAGGGAGGGGGCCAATCTGATCTCACCAGAAAGGGAGTTTTGTCTCACATGGGAATGTTTTTGGACACAAGTTTGTTCAATATAACTATTTTTATAAGCACTTTTTGTGTAATACATTTTCTCTTTTAGCCATTGTATTTCTGGTTTCTATGAACACTTGTGAAAGATGGACAGTGAAGTAAGTCGACAAAAAAGACAATTAATTGATTTGCAATGCAGTGTTGGAAGAGAGTTCTGGAAATACCATGGACTACCAGAATAACAAAACATTGGCTCCCAGAGCAAATCAAGCCTGAACGTCCCATAGATGCAAAAATGATCAAACTGAGGCTATTGTATACTGGACATATCATGAGATGATATAACTCAATAGAAAAGAAACATGGAGAAGCCCCTCTTGTGTCCATGTCAACTTTGCTTGTAATCATGGTGGGACTGAGAGAAGGGCCTCTTCTAATGATTTTAGGGCCTGGACTGACTCATAAAGGAACCATAGACTGCCAGACAGTCATATAGGGCATTATAGGTTATCATTGCCATCACTTTGAAACAACCCCAAACAGGCCCATAGCCAGGATTCTGTTTCGGGGGGGGGGGGGGAGTTTGGGGGGGGGGGGGGGGGAGGCTGAGTCTGAGTGAAAGAGGGTCTACCCTAGCAAACCTTTTGTATCGTTACCCCAATACCCCCATGTATATGGGATATATTGAGCATGGTGATCAGATCATGATATGAATAACATAACAGTTTAAATAATGTACCAGTAAGGCCTTCTCGCGGAACACCATGAGAATTTCGAGGGGGGGGTCTGAAGCCCCCCAAGCTCCCCCCCCCCCCCCCCCGGCTACATGCCTGACCCCAAGGTAGACTAAGACTAAAATAAGATACCTTATCAGAAGACTCTAGCTCAGTGATTCTCAACCTGTGGGTCCCCAGATGTTTTGGCCTTCAACTCCCAGAAATCCTAACAGCTGGTAAACCAGCTGGATTTCTGGGAGTTGTAGGCCAAAATACCTGGGGACCCAGAGGTTGAGAACTACTGCTCTAGTTGCATCTTAATTAAGCTTTTGCTTATCCCATTTCTTCTAATGCTCCCTAGCAATGTCTAGTCATGGAAAATGTACAACTCAGTGCACTGATCCGTAAACAATTTTTGTTTTTGACTGTGTTTTCCTGAATCCTCAAGTCTGGACATGGGCAAACGTAAGCCCTCCAGGTGTTTTGGACTTCAATTCCCAGAAATCCCAGGCAGCTTAATGGCTATTAGGAATTATGAGAGTTGAAGTCCAAAACATCTGACGGGCTGAAGCTTGCCCATGCCTGCTGTAGCCAGTATGGCTAGGATATTATGGAAACTGTAGTCTTAAAAAAAAGATTTGCAATCTCAGCCTTAGTATCACCCAAAGAGCTACTTATGAAACAAATCTGGCAAAGCTAGCTGGACAATTATATCACAACAGGCATTTTCTCTTGGTAGATTTAACCAGGTAATAAATGTAAGGAAAGGTAGTACATGGTAGCCATGCATCCTCTAACCACTTAATTCTGGTCTGAAATAGCAGAAAATGGACATTTATGAACATTATTGTGAAATGTGTGAAAATCACATAACAAGAGCCTTTCAGCTTGCTTCTTCTCAGTTGCTGGGCTGCAGCCTCTCATTCACACTATCCCTTTTGTACGCTCCTGTAGGAAACTGTGACTTGTTCCATTTTTTTCATATCTTTATAAGGCCTTAAATGATATTATAGCACATAAATTAGAAATAGTGAATGTGGGGGGTAGGAAAAATACTATAAACACTACTGTACGAAATAAGTGATTTTTAAAAAGAGGTCTCCATCTGGATTTGTTTTATGAGGCAATACATCATGCCCTTATCAACAATGCATCCTTCTCCCAGTTTTCATAACTACAATGGGTGAGCTTCAAGTGCCTCTGTGAGCTAAGGCCTGAGAGATGAATAGCAGCATTATTTGTCGTTATCCGGCATGCATTCAATTTTCTTTCCAGTAAAATGAATGGGTAAACTTGCATAGGTCATAACATGAGAAAAGTCCCACATTTTGTGTCTCACACCCAAAGCATTGCTATGAGATTAGGCAAGCCCCCACCCTAGAAACTTTCAAGAAGAACCTCCAAACCTGACTTTTCCATTGTGCCTTTGGAGAGTAATCTTACATCTCCCTCTGTCATTCCCCCAGTAATGTTTGTTTGTCCCCATATTGCACTGCCCCCTGCCTATATGATGGCCCGTCTCCACTACTCCGTAGTTCATGAGTTTCTCCCTTACAAATATATCTCTTTTATTTCTATCTCATCCTGAGTTTTTATCATTGTACCTTGCACATGTGGCCCACTCATTGTGATTGTGTTTGATATTGCACTGTATTATTTTGCATTCTTTATTGTATTTCTATGCTCTATTTATTTTATTGCGATGTTTGTTTTATGCTTTTGTTATATTATAATGCACTATCAGGCTTGCCCTCATGTAAGCCACCTCAAGTCCCTTTTGGGGAGATGGTGGCAGGGTATAAATAAAGATGATGATGATGATGATGATTATTATTATTATTGAAACACAACAGGATGAGCCCACAGCAGACACTCTGCTGGCTGTTGAATTGGATCACACGTCGGACACTTCCCAAGTTTCTAGGACTGTGTGATGTATCGGCATATAATGCGTGCAGATCCCAGTAAGGTGGCCTTCTGCAGCTGGCAGATGGTAATTTTGTCAGCGCCGATTGTGTTTAAGTGCAGGCCAAGGTCTTTAGGCACTGCACCCAGTGTACCAATCACCACTGGGACCACCTTGACTGGCTTGTGCCAGAGTGTTTGCAGTTTGATCTAATATTATTATTAATAATAATATTAATATTATTAATATTACGGGCAAAAACAAGACGGACTGGTCCCCGGTCAAAAAATACTTCAATATTAGGCCGTCATAGTTAGTCGCGAGAGAAGATAAGAAGAAACCACTAACAATTAACACTACCTCTTGGAGTAAATCAGTAAATAAGAGTACTAACTCCTCTTCCTCACACTCCATCTATTTCACCCCTTTCTAGCAGCACAGCACTACCCCCATTTCCCCTTTTTCCCCTTCTCTTCTTTTTCTTTTCTTCTTACTTTCCCCGTTCTTGGGATCGATATTATTTTAAACCGAAGTTATGTCGATGATTGATACTCCCCCAATGTATACTTAATTTAAAAATTGGAATAAACATTATTAAAAATTATTATTATTATTATTATTATTATTATTATTATTATTATTATTATGTATCAAGAAGAATGAGTTTTGAGATGCCACTGAGGGCTACTTCAACATGCAGAAAAACGACTGTTTTATTGATATACCAGTTTTCAAAAAAAAAATGGGGAGAAAATATCTGAGAAAAAGTTACATCTATTATGCTACTAAACAAGATTAAAATTCTGATATCTAGGAAGCAAGGCAAGGTGTATCTGTTCTAAGCAGCTCCAGTGCTGGTATTTGGTAGTACAGGTAGTCACCAAGTTAGTGTAATGAGACTAAGGCTGAGATTGCAAATCATTTATTTATTTAAAACTTTTATACCCCGGTCTTCTCCACCTCTACAGAGGGACTCAGGCCGGCTTACAACATGAAATGGTACATAAATGGTACACAAGGATGATTGTTATACCTACATTCCCTACATTCTACTATATTCCCAGTCTAGGGCTTACAGTATTTTTATTTTATAAAAATAAAAATACAGTTAAATTATTGATAAAATTAAAAGAAGTTTTAAAACAAACCATTAAAAAGAATGTATCGAAACAGCACTGCACATTAAAGGCCATTCCTTCTTAGCAGTTAGATTACAAAGGCCTGCCAAAGGAAATACTTCTTTACCTGCATGCAGAACATAGTTAGGGAAAAAATAGTAAGGAAGGCTCCAGTCTAAAGACTAAAAGGATATTGTAAAATAGTTTTTTTTAATGATTAAAATGAAGTTTTTATAAGTATTGAGAAAACTCCAATGGGAAGAATCTTTGGCTGATAAGATTTTTGTATTTTAGGACTTTGAAAAAAATGCTAATAATCACTTTGCACAGAAGACAACATTTTTCTATGCGGAAAATGTTATAGTTGGGGACTTATTGTGTGAAAAAAATGCATATGGCCATTTTTCACAAACATTTTCTATGCAGAAAATGCTATAATTGGGAACATAGCACATGGTTGATTCCCATAGAAAATAATATTTTCTGTGCATAAAACCTTGTATTTCTGAAGAAAAAAAATAGTATTTCTGGGTTGAAATATTATTTTTCACACAGAAAATGCTATTTTCTGTGCAGAAAATGCTGTCTTCTCCACAAAATATTCACGTGTGAATTTTGTGAAGCATAAGTTCCAAATTGGGTTCAAGATTGGGAAAGGCGTACGGCAAGGCTGCATCCTCTCACCCAACCTTTTTAACTTGTATGCAGAACACATCATACGACGTGCGGGGCTTGATGAATGCAAAGCTGGGGTGAAAATTGCTGGAAGAAACATTAACAACCTCAGATATGCAGATGACAC